AGCCATAACTGCAATTCACATACTACCTTGAGTTCAATTGATTATACCCCCTTGAAAGGGTTAGCTTTTTCCGCATTGATTCTAGTTGATTTGAATTAAAATTCAACCCATTCTCGATTCATTCTTTTTTGAACAATCCCCCTTCCCTGTCATGCTATCTTTTCCTAACCACATCACAATTCATGTATGCGTATTTGGCAGTTCTTTCATGTTATCTAAGGTTATCTAAGATCACCGGGGATACATAACATTATTAAAAGAAGAGATATATCATATAACGTAATATTTCACCTAATATTATCACCTTTCCTGATACAAGGGTTCTTAATTTCAAGTAATCAAATCTTTGAGTAATTATTACATCGATGAAATCGGAAACAATATCATAAATATTTGTATTATGTACCGATTATATAATGACAACTGTGACCTAAGTTTCCCTAAATAAGTAAGTGTAATATAACCATAGGTCTCTGTTAAAACAAGGATTCAGAACTTCATTTTTATAAACTCAGAATATAATATTGATTCATATATGCAAATATATAATTAACTCATTGGCTTTCATCTCTTACCGATTGGATGGAGTGTGAGTTGACCAGCCGAAATCAGCTAATTTAATATCGTCTGATGAGGTGAGCAATATGTTTTCCGGTTTTAAATCTCTGTGAATGACATTGTTCAAATGGCAGTAGTTGAGTGCATCAGCTACTTGATATGTGTATTTTGCCGAACGGAATTCATCGAAGCGCTGATCTTTTGAATTGCGCAAATGTTTATATAGTTCACCTTCAGATGCGAGTTCTAGAGCTAAATAAATGCGTTCATTGTCATGAAACCAAGTCAGCAAGCGTAAAATGTTTGGATGTCTTCAATAGATTTTTATACTCCATATTAGTATATAGTTAAGTATTTATGTATATATATATGCTGTGCTTACTTTAGTTGTGATTGTATTTCTATTTCATATAAAACTCGCTTTTCTACATTTCCTCGCCGTAGTTCATCTTTAAATAAGACTTTCATTGCCACTAGATATTTCGAAGCCCGTTCACGTGCTATATACACTCGTCCAAATTTACCACGTCCAAGCGGAGCGCCCATTTCAAAATCCTTAACAGACCATTGATAACTAACAGTAAAATAGTTTATGATTTATATTATAGCACAATCAAATTAATTTTTGCTACATATAATAGTAAAATGACTGTACCAACCTTCGCCCATATGCTGGATGAGACATCATCCTTAATGACATATCCTTCACATTTTCCTTGTGCTCCTTTGGGACCGAAGTCAAATATTCCTCTAAAGCACTGATTGTTGGTGGTTTTTTATTCACTTTTTGCATTTCTTCCATTATTATTATTTTATAAAGTATAATTTACAGTACGTTTAGCAACAAACGGCAGAAATCCAATTGATATTAAACACTGTTTAACTCGATTTTTTTTGATAAACGTCAAAGTAAAAGAAAGCAAATATGAAAATTTTAATATTAACGTTGCTACTTTGTTTGTGAAAATTAATTATAAATGCGTTATGCTCTGTTCAGACAGTCAAATTTGCTTATAATATAGCCATGTGCCATTTTCCTTAATTTCATTCTAACCTTAAAACTGAATTTTGTATGGAAAAATTAACTTAATTTCGCTGAAACGAAATTGGAATTAAGATTTTTGCTAAATTAAGGTGTGTCTGAGCACAGTATTATGTTGTGTTATAATTGTTTGGTTTGATTTTCGAATAAATTCAATATAACATTTTTCGAAGGCAATATATCACGATCAAAATCACGATCACAATTGTGAAGCAAAGAAATGTGAAAATGGGAAAGAAGTATTCGTGGCCAGCGCCAAGTTAGCAACGTTGGGGGAAAACACGGCCATAATTTACAAAAAATGTTTTAAAAATGATATTTTGGTTAATATAAAGAAATAAACTAAAACAAAAGCCATACGTATTAGGTCTATTAAACAAATTTTCTAGTAAATGAGAGCATCTGAAAGAGGATAACATCCCTGTCGAAAGTTGAAAATGCTACACAGACTTTACTTATATATTTTATTTACAGTAAAATTTGTGTGATGAATGAATCAGTTGTTTTGGTTGGGATTATTGAAGTTTTGTGTCGTTTATTTGCACGGCACTGGTGTTCTCACCAGACTCTACACAAAGTTGTTCCATGAAAATCTGTGTAAAGAGCGTAATTTGTCACTTTATTTGTGTTACGCTCACAGTTTGAACTTTACTTGTGTTTTACTCGAGTTTTACTATGAGCAACTTGTGGAACAGACCTTTAGACATGCAATTTGAAACATATATCAGTGATAGTACTACGAACCTAAACAAAAGTTTTTAGAACTAAAAAACCAAGTATTTTAAGAAAAAGTTATTTATCCAATTTTTTTTTTTGCGTAGCAATAGTTCTTGTTAAATATATTTTTGCACTTGTATGGAATATTGAAGGCAAAAAATTAATAACCATTCAATATTCAACCATTCAATATTATTCATATTGTTACTAAGAATTAATAAAAAAATTGAGAACTTTTTGCTTATTAAGAAACTTTGCTAAAAATCAAATATGCTTAATGAGTTTGTTGCTGTGAAGTCAAGATATTCGATAACAGTTCCACCACTCAATCTGAAATGTGAAAATAAATTGTCAATTATAACTTTTGCAAGGCTCCTAACTTTTTTAATTTTGGATGAAAATGAAAATCTCAATTTCTTTTTTAATAAAAAAATTATTTCATCTTCAATGTAATTAGCCATTTTCTAAGGCTTTTCAATAAATCTGTTGCATAAACAAAATTTGCTATAAAGTTGTTATTATTTTTCCTAAAAGAACATTATCATTAACATACTTTAAATATACTAAAAACTTTGATATATTGAAGTTAAGTAATAAATACAATTGAAATAAATTAAACATTTTTACATACTCAACTTTATTTATACATTAAATAGCCTATGTCTATAAGTGCATAATCTCACTTCATCTTAATAGATGGAGAGAGTTGAGCACTTGTAGACAGACCAAACTCATGTTACCTAAACCGTGGACCAGAGAAGCGATAAAAGTGCTTAGCTATTCGCGGAGCACTCTAAGCTGGCTGATCTCACTAATTACTGGACATGGCAACTTCAAGTATCACCTCAAAAAGATAACTCGTGCTGAGGAAGACACTTGCAGACTATGTCTAAAAGAAAAGGAGACAGCGGTGCATATACTGTGCCAATGTCCAGCACTGGCAAGTAGGAGGAAGACTGTCTTGGGACACCATTGGATTGGTGACGACTTGGCAGGAAACCTCAAGCTAAATGAGCTGCTTGCATTAACAAAAGATGTAGTTATGCGAATGAAAGCCACTCCAGCTTTAACTCAATAACAACATCCGAGAATCGAAGGACGAAAAAGGACCCAAGTCGTTTCGTGGTCTACTTCGACTAATCCTTCACTTCAGTGGGGCCACTTGTTGGACAGTGCGCTGTCCCAACGTTCCACCATATATAATATACATTAAACATTATACATTAATGATATACGATTATATAGAGACCAATAGCAACGAGACAATGCAAAAAACTAATATGCTGTCTTCTGTCTAACAACAAGATGTACAAATATCTAAAACAAATAAAAACTTTTCATATTCAAACTTTAAGGATCTATCGAAGTGTCTTAATTTTCTTCTTTCGTTGGATTAAGTCACGTTTACACATTCATCAATTTTTTTAAACTAGTAACCCTTTCCTTCTTGTCCTTACCCCAAGAGTAAATTGGAACCGGTGTTACTTTTATCTCAATGATAATTCTAGTTTTTAACTACATGTGTCTGTTTTTTTGACGAAAAGTTTTATATTTTTTATGTAGCTTACTTCTACTCCACTGATTTCCTTTAATTGCTTAAAGCATTTGCAAGTTTCCAACGTTCACACTTTTCCATTTTTCTAATCACACCTACTATTTCCTTTATATTTCTTCGCTTTCATTTCCGTCGTTGTCACTTAGCACGATAAATCAACTGCTCTTTGTTCAGCAACCACATACACGCACCTCGGAGTGGCACATTCTGGAAGAAAATTACTGAGTACGCAATAAGAAAAGTAGTGGAACTAACAAAAGGATCCAACACTGGAAGGTGCCAACAGACACAAAGCTTGAAGGTGGTGCAACATTTGTTACCGTGACAACTTCTTTTTCTGTGCCACTATTAGCAGGGCGTTATAAATTTTAGTGGTGACAGTTGACAAACGATTTTATGTAAATATTCCTTGAGAAATGCTTTAAGTACAGAATAAAAGTGTTAGTAAAATTTATATTTATGTTTGGATTTTTATTGCATATTTTTTAAGAAAACATTTAAAAATTTTTTTTATTTTAAATTTATTTAAAATATATATATTTATGTAAAAATTCACGCAAACCATAATAGGATTTGCGAATGATTACTGAAATTATGTATAGAAAAATCTTTAAATTTAATTAATAGTGTTTATTTTGACTTTCTAGAAAAATATTTAGGCTTTGTTATTTACTTCTCTGTCCTTTTATATATTTCACAAATGATCAAAATCCTTTTACATATTTAATAAAGTATTGTCAACTCGCATAAAGAAGTTACTAAAGTACAAAGTCATTGGCATACAAAGGAAGAGAAATCCTTTGGCACAGCTTGACTTATTTTATCATATGATATTTTGTTTTCAAGTATTTCCGCATAGAGAAATTTATTCCATTCATAGCAGAAATTGTATCTAGAAGAACCACTTACCACTTACCACACACACATAAGAGGAGAGAAATGAAATAATATTTTCACAAAGATTTTCAATTGGGATTCTTAACAATTCAAGTCACATATGATAAAATATTTATTTACCACATAGAGTGTGTGAATAGTGGTGATATCAACTACATAGATACAAAGAAAGCATTTAGAAACAACCCGATGATTGTGGGTGTTTGATACTGAAAATTACTTCATAAATAAGCCTTATTGTGTCGGTAAGTGTCTAGTTCAATGCTTTGTGCTCTGATTTTATAAGAAATTCATGTAGAATTCAAATTCTGCCGGAAGTAATCAAACTGCTTGTATTGTATTTATAACACCTTCAGCCGATACCACTTGAATAAATAAACATAAGTTGGAATTATGCTGTATGATAGTTTTTATATTAAATATTTTATATAAATTGATAGGAGCCCATCTAATATACAAAACTACTTCGAGTTAACAGAAAAATCTACATATCATATAAATAGCATAAAATTTTTACCATTTACCATAAGTGTAGGGAAGGATTTACATTTTGGTTATGGTATACGACCATCATAACATATTCAAGTATATATAATCGGTTTAATGGTTACGTGATGTTCATTAAGAAGAAACTTTTTTTGCTTTATGATATTTTATACATTTGATGTAAATAATAAATTTTCTAAAAAAATTAAAAAAAAGGATTTAAATAAAATGCATCTACTAAAGTTACTCATACACAATATAGTTGAATTAATTTTAAATTGTTTTCTTTGAAGTGAGTATATTCAGCAACGAAATTACATGAATTATTTAATTAATTATATTAATTCATTAAAATTCTACTCTACTCTATTCTACTCTATTCTACTCTATTCTACTCTACTCTACTCTACTCTACTCTACTCTACTCTACTCTACTCTACTCTACTCTTCTCTATTTAACTATAATTTATTTAAATGGATTTTTAAATGCTGAGAAAAAATTGCAAAAAGTATCAATTACTGAACAATTATGAGAAGAGTAAAATTTAAATTAAAAATTACCTTTTTACCGAAATTAATATTGAAATCAATATAATCACTCTCAGTTAGCGAAATATAATGGCAACTATTAAATAATTTACCTAGGTGGTTCATCTTAAGAATATTGGGTATCTATCCACCCAAAAGAGAACTGGTTATTTTAGCTATTCTTCTTCTTCTTCTTCTCTTATCCTCTTTCCCCAGTGTAGTATGGGACTGGACTTCCGCCATCCTCTTGAATTGCGTACTTCGTGGCTGTTGACATTACAAGAAAAAATTTCTGCTTGGAATTCTGCATCAACTGTCCTTCACCATGTTCTAGCAGGGAATCCAATCTTCCCTGCTATTTCTCTGGAAGTTCTATCTAAGTGCTTGATTAGCAATTTTTTAAGAGCATCTATGACAGATCCCACGCTATACACAAATGCACACTTCTTCAGAGGTTGGTATTTGGTTGGTGACACCCCAAAGATTAGTATTGCATACACGATTAGACCAACATATTGTGAAAATCTGAAAATCTCAAGCATTTGTTGGAAAAAGTTGACGTTATTGTCCATGATGGGCCCAAAGACTGTACGCAAATAATGTTTATATAGTGAACTGCTGGTTTCAAGTCAGACGTCTGTTTGT